AATTTATAGTATAATTAATTATGTACCTATATAAATACTTTCAGTTGATATACCGTAATTTTTATTATTAAGTTTGGTTTAATTTTTCTGAGTTCACATTAATTAAATAATTGCAATAATTCATTCATAAAATGAGATATTATAAATATTAAGTTTTATTTTAAATAAATATAAAATTCTTTATGAGATATTATATTATAAATTAAGATCAATTGGAAATGTTTCATATATCGTTTTCAGTGTTATATAATATGGCAATATTAGCTATTATACGTTTGTTTTATTAATTCTTATAAAATATAAAGTTTCAAAGAAAGTTTTATTGAGAATATTGAAGTTTATTATATGAATTAAAATATAAAATATACAATGTCTTTATGGAATATGAATATAATGTAACATTTAACACTATCATGTTAATTGTCTATCACATTAATCATATAAATGATGTGATATTGACTTGAACTCGAAAATTATAATAACTTCAAAGTTCAGTAGAGTTTCACACAATTCCTGCCATAAAGATGAAATAAATGTCAATATTGTTTGCAAGTCTTATGATATGATTATTACTTTTCGATTCTTTGTTTTGCAATTTTGTTTGAAACATTTTCACACAAATATGCATATACTTTAATACCTGTCTATACATATAATTACATAATATACACAGGTAGAATTTTTTAAATGTTGTTTATAATTTGATCACGACCAAAGTATTTGTAATATTAAGACACTAATCACAATGTATAGATTAAAAGTACACCAAAAAGTACACTGAAATTATATTGTTATAATTGTTATACATGTACCAAAAAATATGCATAAGTTATTTACACTTGTTATAATTTCTCACAGTGAATATTACTGTATGAAATACACACATTTTGAACTATGATTTGTAGTGCATTGTATACCCATTATTGCAGGTATTTCCTAGTTAAAAAGGATTTGAATCGATAAAAACAATTGCATTCAAAACAAAAGAGTTAATAGTTTAAAAGGATTTCCAGAGATTTTGGGTGCTTTTAATCATTTTGTTTTTTCAGGTTATCGTATAAATATCATAGACAGTGCCTAACTGGTAGTCTTAACCGGTATAACAGTAAACTTCTTCAACAAAGTATTTCACAAGACTTATACAGTATAACAGACCAGTCGTATGAGTGCCAGGACTAGAGATAATCAAAACCTCTGTTACTTACACCTAATTATAATTGTTATAAAATTCTTTATTTTATAATGGGATTCCGTTTTACAATGATTTACAGTACCTGTGCATATTAGATATGTTTATAATTTTAAATTATTTTTAATTCGTTTAATTTTTTAAAACAGAAATCATAGCAATATAAGGTAGATATCGAAATAAGACCATTCGTATTAAGACCTAAAAGTTAAATAACTCTAAAATTAATTGCAATTAATTGGCAATTAGTGTCACAAATTGTAGCCTATGTTACGTCCTCTTAATATTGGTACATAAGTGTCACAATTTGCGGCACAATTGTGGTCAAAATTAGTTAATTGTTTGTTGTCATCATTTTTATCACAAATAGTGCTAACAAACAATCACAAATTAATCACTTGATTATGATTATTAAGACTGTATTTGTGTTTAATTGTTTTAATGAATGATCAATGATCAAAACAACACCAAAAATTGCATTTAATTTTATCTAGTTAATTTATAAATGACCATTTAGTTTGAAATCAAAATAAGACCCATTGGTCACAATTGAACCCTTTTGTATGTTATTCAATGGGAATCAACTATTGCTCATTTGGGTCTTATTTCGATATCGACCTTATTAATTAATTATTCTTTTTACAATTAATTAATTATTTGTAGTCTTTATAGTAAACTTTGATAATACTTATTAATTTATCGTTTTTGATATACTAGACTTTAAAACTAGTCAGAATTAATAGTATAATCATAACTTGAAATATTTAGTATTATATAATTAACAAATATAGAATATTCTATTTAACTTATTATACACTGGTTGATACAATAGGTATTGTTTTTAATTTTATTTTATACTCTCATGCCATATGAATCAACACTTGAGAATAGATTGCATTCCTAATCACTGTTAACTGTTTTAAATATGGAGCAACAGTGTTTCAAATATTTGTTTTACTTTTTAAAAAAATTATATTAAATTATAATAAAACTTTTATTTATTGTATTAACTGTATGTCCATGAAAACTACTCCATGAGTACAATCACGGCCTTTTAATTAGTGCCACATATTNATAATAAAACTTTTATTTATTGTATTAACTGTATGTCCATGAAAACTACTCCATGAGTACAATCACGGCCTTTTAATTAGTGCCACATATTTATTAGATTTTCATAATATTTATTTGTTTAAACATTTATATATGCAATTCATAAAATATAAATTATTTATATATTGTTCAAATATTTATACAAAATACATATTTTGATGAGACTGATGTGTGAACTACTTATATATCAAAAGCCTTCAAATGAATATATTTACAAAGTATATAAAAACTTAAACTTAAGATAACTATTAGGAATGACTTTATTGAAGGATTTCGAAAATTCATGAGCACCTTGTCTCTTTCTATTTTAATTAATTAATTAAAAACTCTAAATATTAAATTATGACTATTAAGAATTAAAGATTATTTACAAAACAAAATCCAAAGCGAATTAAAAATAAACTATATTAACTTAAGTATGCATTCATTATATTAAATTCCGGTATTCCAGTAATTTTTAAATACATGACTAGAAATTCCGGTGCGCTTATGTAGTCCTTTTGATGGCATTGTATTGGATGGTCGAACCCATCAGTCTGTATGTGACTGCACTGATCCCGGTGGCCCTCTACCCCTTACTTAATGTGATCAGGTAACTAGTCTACCACCATTACACACGCATTAATCTAATGCCATATTATTAAAACATTGAATCTATTGAACTCTAATTCAGTACATCAGACGTTTGTTCGCCGTATATGAAGGTTAGACACGAGTCTCAAAATAAATTGCTATAAACACAAAAATGACCTTTTATGAAATATATTGATATTGATATTATAATATTGAAAACCAGGCGACAAATATGATGTTTGTGGGAGGCCTAATGATGGCCATAGCCATAGAGCACAGTAATCTGCATAAAAGGATTGCATTAAAAACCCTTCTAATCATAGGAACCAGTGTTAATCGGTATACTAGTAAACATGCAATCATTAATTCAATAAAACTGCTTTACTAATCAATATTAATATACAGAATAATGTTTGGCATAATGTTGGTGACAATGTTCCTATCCATGTGGATCAGTAAGTTTTAGGAGTCCTTATACTTTGGACACAACTAAAAGCTTATGACATAATCATAATGATTGACAGGCAATACGGCCACCACCGCAATGATGGTACCGATTGTGGAGGCGATGCTTAAAGAACTGGGTCAGTTTTGCAGTATCCATGTATTTATATTTATACAAATCAATAATATTTCGCAAATATCGATGAATGTGTCAAAAACATCGAAGGATTTCTATAATTAGATGATAACAAATGTTTCATATTTTTATGTGTCTGTCCTTCAAATGAAGTCTAAAAATTAATTTTTTGAACAAAATGTGTTAAATATCAGATGAATCGCCTGAAGCACAGCAAAAGCAATCAGATAGTGACAAACAAAAAAGGGCTACAATAAGGAAAGCCTTATTGCTTTCCATCTCATACTCGGCTAATGTTGTATTTAATAAAAACTAATTACGATATTTCAATACCATTTCAAACGTCTTGATCCCTAAGGCCTCGAATACGATGGCGTTCGGCGGCTATTGGTTTGCAATGAAATGTGGTATTTGTTTGTCAGACATTATTATCGATAGTTAGATATTGTTGTTAATGGACTCACAGTCGCCACGGGGAACATGAATGCGAACGAAACTATGAATGAATTGATTGTATTTTAATGGTTTGTTTCACTCAATAAGGCACTCAAACTCACTTCCAATGGTCACCGGCATCATCAGCAACAGTGGATTCACTCCCATATTAAGTGCCTATTCAGTCGTTTGGGTTATATATTTTCAATCATTTATAGACATATTATTGTATAAGTGATTTTTGAATTGCAATTTAAACTCATGTATAAGTTAATTACCAAAGTGTTGACAACGGGTAGTATGACTGTAGCACAGGCGACATTACTCATTACCTCTGTGATGACGGCCGCAATCACTGTCAGCGCAACCATAGCTCCACGCGGAGAGATGGTACTAAAACTGGACAGTTGTTCGCCAAACCACGCGGAAAGGCCTGATTTCTGATGAAAAACATACAGTTAATCTCATATATGTCGGTAACATTATGTCGGTGTTGTGACAGTACATCTATGCCCTCCGCCATAGCGAAGCCGCCCCCCAACAGGAGGATCACACCCCACGGCATCTTCTGGTGCACTGTCTTCCAGTCGAGTAGTGTCTCGAACTTCTTGCTCTCCCTTTCCTCATAGAATTGCGACAGATTTGCCGGTATTATGAAGAATAAAACGGATATTAGGATAGCCGGCGTCGCGTCCTTTATCTGTTGGCAATTCAATTGGTTTTTAATTACAATAAATTTAATGTTAATTGTATGCGTGTGTGAGCGCCGGTATGTTTAAATAATTTGTACTAACAGTGCCTTTACTACCATCGATGGCATCGGCCCAACCTGTGATTATTTCCGGCTGACGGAAGAACCATAAGAGCACCAGTAGTACAAACAGAACGGTTACGGCTGCCTCCTTAAATCTATGACCAAATATTTGTAGTTTATTAGCAACAAACTCGTAACCGTTTCAATCATTTCATAGACTTATTCATTCTACACTGTATTAAGCATATTCTCCGAGATTAGTTTATCGTATAAACTTTATACTAATTTTAGTACAGAATTTATAACCTATCAGTATATAGGTTGTGCAATGAATATAGAATTCATATGGAATTCACATTACGGTACAACTAAATTCTAAAATTAATTTTTAAGTGCTACTTATTCATAGCTAATTGTTTGTAAAACTTTAAACGCCTTGATTAAACTCACGTGAACGAGCCCAATTCTCTGTACTTTGTTTGGATCAATGATCTCACTTTATCCTTTGAATCATCCAAAACTTTATTGCTGTTAATTTCAATTATAAAATATGAGTATTTTAAAGTCAATTAGTGTTTGAAATAAAACACTTTTGTCTAATGAAAACCACGTATAGGAAAATCCATGCGGCGAGTGTACAGAGTAGCATTCCCGGTGCCGCGTATGCAAACCATTTCGCAAATGTTAGGTCCTTACTAGTGGGGTATAGGCTATAATTTGGACAAGGTGAGTATAGTATTAGTTCATCGTAGTTTAGCTGTAAGAATTCAAGTTATTATTTTATAGTGGTATGAATGTAAATTATTCAAATCTCTATGTGTTAATAATTATAACGAATTTAGATAAGAAAATTTGATTTAAAATACGGCTTTAAAAAGTTTATTAAATAGAAATGTTTTGTTGCTTCAAATGTTTAAGAAGTTATTGCTATTGAAAGCATAAACTGTATTGTGTTTATCTACATAATGCACACATTAATGCAATTAAAATATAATGTTCAATATTTCCTAAAGCACTTTAGATCAGAATCAGTGGTTAAACCAACAAAAAAAATGAGACAGAAATTGAAGTTTACTGATCTCTGGGTTGAAATTTTTATACATAAGACTTATGTCTAGTATTGAGTATTTTAATAACTTTAAATATGTTTGTTTTATATTCTTTAGAGTTGAAATCATTATTAATAAAGAATTTAATGACATTTATAATGCTATAAGTAATAGTATGGGCAATAAGACAACCCCAAACCCACGTCCGATATTTAATGCTATAAAATCATATGATAGCTAATTCTCGAGACCTTCACTCAATTATTAATATTATGTTTTGCATAAATGGGTTTATTTTGTAAGTATTGGCTAAGACTATCCCAATACACAATTATTGTAATATGAAAGTTGCGAAAGAAATAGGAAACCAATTACAAACAATTAGTATGTAATAGTCTTCGTGTAAGAGTTATTGATTTATTGATTCCTAAGAATCTTAAGAATTTCAAATATTGC